AGATATGGTGTGTTTTCCAAACCAGACCGGACTGACCCAGTGGGGCAAGGACCCCAACCCTCTTCCCATTCTCCTTGATGACTGCCTCTGCCTTGGGGTTATCGGGGCTTTCCTGGGGTGGTGGGGTGGGGGGTACCTCTGCCTGGGGGTCCCAGCTGACCCTGGGGATGCCTCTGCCCAGGCTGGTGTCCGAGAAGAAGATGAAGAGGCAGCGGAAGCCCGAGTTCGACATCGCCCGGAATGTTCTGGAGCTGATCTACGGGCAGACTCTGACGTGGTGGGCTTGCCCCTCACTGCCTGGCCCCTGGGGGAGGGGGGTGGCAAGCCCTACCAGTACCAGCAGATGACCTCTAGGTTCTGGAGGATGTCCTGGCAGGGGGGCCAGGCCTCTGGTCCAGCCCGGTCTGGGGCTGGACAGGGAGGGGCCGGGCCAATTGCTCCAACTGTGAGCTGGGGGTAGGGGGGATGCGAGGCCCAGGCTTCGGCAGGCCTCTGACCCCCAGTCCCCCCACTCCCCTAGGCTGGGAGTCCTCTTCTCCCCCCTCCTCCCGGCCGTGCAGATCCTAAAGCTGCTGTTACTCTTCAACATCAAGAAGGTGAGGTGGGGGTGGGGGTGGGGGGCAACAGGCCCCTCCTGGAGAGCACCCGCTGGCAGCCAGGGCACCCTGCATCTGTGCCCTGGCCACAGGAGTCAGCTGGCCCCCCAGGCTGGGCGGCATCCCGCTAGTGACATGTGCCGGGTCAGGGGTTGTCCTGGGAGTTGGGCTGATCCACTATGCTCATTGAGAATCCCCGCTAGTTGACAGCTGGGGTCTGGGACCCCAGATGTCCTGAGCAAGGCACTCTCTGGCCTGGAGCCCTGTCTGCGCCTTGGGCAGGATTCTCGGAGGGAGGGGGCTAACGGGGCTGGCAGGGAGGCACTCACGAGTGACCTTGGACGGCCCACTCCCCGTCTGCCTGTCTCCCTTCTGGTGTGTGTGTCCCCGATCTGGGCTCTACCTGGAGAGACATCCCCCAGCCCCCCAGCTTCTTCCCTCTCGCGTCACCCACCCCAGGCGGGGGCTGGGCAGGCGCGGTTGGCAGCCTGTGTGGCCTCTGTTCCCAGACCAGTCTGATGGCCAACTGCCAGGCACCGCGGCGGCCGTGGCTGGCCGCTCGCATGAGCACTGTCTTCGCCACCCTGCTCTGCTTCCCCGCCTTCCTGGGTGCCGCCATCTTCCTCTGCTACGTCGTCTGGCAGTGAGTGCTCCTGCGCCGGCCTGCTAGGGGTTGGGAGGGTGAAGGCAGGGGGTGGGGGCGTCCTTGGTGGGAGCCCAGAGGGGCACCTCGCCCGCTAAGGGTCCCCCCGCCCTGCAGGGTGAAGCCATCGAGCAGGTGCGGCCCCTTCCAGGGTCTGGACACCATGTACGAGGCGGGCAAGGTGTGGGTGCTGCGACTGGAACGCGCGGGGCCCCAGCTCTCGTGGCTGCCCTGGCTCTACCGCTACCTGCTGGAGAACACCTTCATCATCTTCCTGCTGTCCGCCCTGCTGCTGTGAGTGCCCGCGGGGGAAGGGGGCACAATGGGGGTCTGCACGGGTGGGCTCCGCTCCCCGAAGGCCCACCTCCCCATGGGGTCGGGACCTCGCCTGCGCCCGTGACTCCCTCCTACCCTTCTCCCTGCAGCGCTGTCATCTACCTCAACATCCAGGTGGTGAAGGGTCAGAGGGAGGTCATCTGCCTTCTCAAGGAGCAGATCAGTAATGTGAGTGTCCCTTCTGAAGCCCACCTGGGTCCAGGCCTGGGGCTGCCCCCAGGGCTCCTATGGGAGGAGCCGTGGGCGGGGCTGCCCTGGGCACACTGCGTTAACGCAGTTGGAAAGGCTGGCCCTAACCCTGGCCTGTTCAGTGCCCTCGCGTTATAAACAAGCCCAGTTCGAGAGCGCCAGGATGGAAAGAGATGTCCAGTGAGTGAGGGGACCAGATGTGGGTTCTACTCCTCGTGTCGCTCTCCCCTCCAATGCGCATGCTCACTGGGCTGGGAAGCCACAGGGTGACCTGCCTGTTACCCTGCGTCTCCTTGTTATGGGTTACCTTGCTGACCTGCTCACCTACCCCAACCCGGCCACATGCAGGCTGCCTGTAGCCGCAGACTTCCGGGGGCCTTAGAATGAGCGCCCTGGGCCTGACATCACTGCCCAGCTTTTTTTTTTCTGTGTACTTGATGTCCGCCCCTACGTTTGGCTGACTGGGTGCTTGGGCCTTGGCTGTGTGTTCTCAATGTCCTCCTGTCCAGGCCTGCCAGCTGCACCCCTGTTGCTCTGCTCAGCCAGGCCCTGGCTTGCCAAGGGGAGCGGGTGGGTGGCAGGTGGGGTCACAGGGCACCAGCCTGCCTGGAGCAGCAGGGTGGGGATCCATACCTGCACCCTGCTGGAGTTGGAGAGCCCAGACTTTGGGGGTGCACACCCCAGAGGCAGTGTTCAGAATGGACAGACCCTGGGGTCTGGGCCAGGTGTACACCCCCTTTCTCTGGGCCAGCCAGTGGGCAGTGAGCGCCCAAGCCCAATTCCCAATCCCGTGACTTCTGAGAGGCCTCCCTGTCCTGACTTCACTGCTGCTCATTTGGTGCTTAGCAGGGCCTGGGCCTATGCTACATGCTATCCTAGAGCCTTGGGACGAGGACATTTCTGTCCCCCTTTACCAAGACTGAGGGCAGAGAGGAGGTAACTTGGCTAGTGAGTGGCAGGGCCAGTGGGCTGGCTCCAGCAGGGGCTGGCTCGCCAGGGTCCACACCCTTTTGGGTGGCAATCAGCTTTCCCGCTTCACCTTGTCCGCTAAGAAACTCAGTCACATACTGCATTTCCTTGCATATGATGACGCCAACAACAGGCCCAGAGATATAACACCCACAGGAAGCTAACGTGTGAGGGGGGTTATGGGTTTGAGGCAACTGTGTCAGCTGGGCGTTAGTGGCAGCTCCTTCCTAGCTCTTACCTTGTTTTGAGGCTTCTCTCAATTTCCCATGTGCGGGGTACGGAAGGAGCCCTGGTGGTGTCGTGGTTACAAGTTGGGCTGCCAACCGAAAGGAAGTTTGAAACCACCAACTGCTCTAGGGGACAAAGAAGGGACTTGCTCACAGGGGCCGTTCGTTCTACAGTGTCCTGCGGGCTCTATGCCAGTTTGAGTTTGTGCTGGGACCTGCCCACTACAGCCTGGCCAGGGCGGTGCTGTGTGGACAAGTGGCCCAGCCTGCTTTCTCATGCTTCCCACTCTGGCTTTCCAGGAGGGTGACGACAAGATCTTCCTAATCAACAAGATCCACTCCGTCTATGACAGGAAGGAGCAGAGCAGGGGAGGGCCTGCAGGGTCCAGCAGGCAGGCCCAGGCCTCGAGCACTCCCTTGCCATTCCCCAAGGACCCTGAGGCTGGGGGTCTGCTCTTGCACCGGTGATGCCTACCCCATGGGGCTGCTACCATTTTTGGATGTGGCTGCTTCCTCTGCTTCAAGACCCGGCAGGGAACAAGCCTAAGGAAGCTGGTCCTCTTTGCCTCTGCACCCAGGTCGGGCTGTAGTTTGGCTTGCCTCGGCCAACTGCCCTTCATCCCGCCCCTTCCCTCCCCAGCCCCCCAGGTTTCCTTGGGACATCAACTTCTCTCTCAAGCCAGGCTGGGCTGTTTCCTTTCCCAGGATGCTGGAGGGAGGGGCACCGAGCCATGCAGCACCCACTTAGCTCCCCAATTCACTGGAGGCTCTGTAGCAGAGACACTGACCCGTAGGCCTCACCCCCGTTCCCGTGTTGCTTTTTGCACACCCAGGATGCCAGGTGCAGCCCCATCCTGTGTCTGTACTGCCACCCCCTTTACCCCTGGTCAGGGATGTCCCAGGAGCTGCAACCTGAAGTCCTCATGGCTCCTCAAGCAGCTGGAATTCTATTTATTCATATTAAACTTGTTTTGCAAACCGGGCTGGGCCTGTTTCCAGGGACCCTGGGCCCGACCCAGGCCTGCCAGCTGCACGCTGGTGTAGTGGCCCGAGTGCCCAGCCTCCTGCACCACCTGCAAGTCGAGGTCTTGAGTGTCTCATGTGTCCCCTCCAGGGTCTACCCTTCTGTCCACCCAGTTCCTGTTGGCTCTGGCTTAGTGTGCCCCCTGCTGGTCAGGTCCCAGGTGGCAGGACGAGACCTCTGACTTGATGCCCTGGGAGGGAGCCAGTCTGAGTGGCTGGAGGTGGGTCCAGTTAGCCATTATGAGGTGAGGATGGGCTGTCCCAGTGACCGGCCAGCCAGCCTTGGAGAGTGCCTTGGTGGAGGGGGCAGCTGGGGCCCCAGTGTGATCAGCCGGACAGGGTGGTGGCCAATCTGGAGGACATAGAGGCCATTAGTGGCCCCATGCCTTCGAGGGGACCGTGCCATGTGCAGGCCACTAACTGGCATGTACCTGGTACTCACCTGTGCCCATAACAGACAGCTTTCTGGGTCAGGGCAGGTAGTCAAGAAAAAAATTGCCATTAAGTTTCAACAAAGCGTTGTACTTTTGAAAAGCAACTTTCGGTGCATTTTCTTCAACAATTACAGAACCCAGGCCCTGGATTCTGGCTTAACTATCAGTGAGTATACAGTACAACCCCAGGTTGTGGTCGGGGTTGCAGCTGAGAACTGCTAGGCCCAGGTCTGATGTCACAATGCCATTTAGGGCTTTACTACCCAGTGGCTGGTGCCCTCTAGCCTACGGTGGCCCTGAAGCTGCTGCATTTCTCTTCCTGGGTGGTTCCTGCCTGGTCCTATCAGGGCGCTTTCCAACAGGCCAGTGTGAGGCGCACTGGCGCCTAGCAACCCCGCCACTCCTACGGTCTTCCCTGTGCTGCCCAAGCTGTGCAGGCCCGCCTGTGGAGCTGCTTGCTGCTGGGACCATATTGCCCGCTTTCTGAGTTTCCTCCTCTGCTTTCTCCTTTTCAGCCCCGTTGCCTGCTGAGCTCTCCCCTTCCAGCAAAGGGGTGGGAGCTGCTCAGTGTCACTTGGAAGGAAGGCACTGTCCACTGGGCGGCCCGCGGATTTACGGGGCTGCTTGTGAGCGCACCTTGTCCTGGTCGCCAGGCGCAGAGCTTGGTTCTTGGTGATGAGTAAGGCACGTGTGCTAATGGCAAGCCACCTTGCCAGAGACAGCACTACAGGTCCAAAGGCCCCGAGCGAGCGAGCGAGCCTTACAAAGCGGGGCTCGCTCTCCCCATTGCTGTACAGACACCGAACAATGAAACAAAACAACAC